CCGGACAGAAGGGGGTGGGGGGGGGGGGGGATTAAAATGAAGCCATATTGAAATTTTGAGTAAGCCTCCGCTTTAAGGTTTCTGCTGTGTATGCCGAGTGACTGAAATCTCTGTTCTGGTGTTGTCTCTCCCCCTTAGTTATCCTGTTTATACTTAATGGCAAAGCCACCCCTGCTATGATGCTGGGTCAGCACCTCTAGTAAGGTTACCCAATGTGAACTGGGCTTCTGAACTTTGATTCCCTATCCCCAAAGGAAATGGCCAGCTTTAGGGAACGTTGATGCTGCTCTGCTTTGCTGAACTTGTAACTGAGATCTCCGCTCTTGTCTTGTGTCTTTCCGTATGTGTATTCTGATATTGATATCTCTGCCCTCATGCTCTATCGCATTAGTTACAGTGAGCTTGTATATAATCTGTGGATGATATTTCAGCCTTTCTGCTGTCTCCTTTAGCGATTTGGTATATAATCTGTAACTGAGATCTCTGTCCTATTGCCGGTTCACATCTAGTGATCTAGCAATCTATGACTAAGATCTTTGTTGTGATTCGGTGTCTCCTCTAGTGACATCTCTGCCCCGATTCTGTGTCTCTTCTAGTTGTCCAGTGTATAATCTGTAACTGCGATCTTTGTCTTCTCTAGTCCAGACACGGGCTACAAAGATGGCGGAAGGTCCAAGGCATAAACATTTCAGGAGAGACTGCTTAAACTTAAAGCGGAAGTAAAGTACAAAATGTAAAAATCACTGGGAGGTCGGGATTTTTGGCAGAAAAGACATGCAAAGTCTATTCTGCCCAAAAAGTTCTCCCCCTTTCCCCTAGCATTTTATTTGGTGTACGGTGTATGGAGTATGTGCCATGCAGTGTACACTCTCAGCTCTTTCACAGCACCTCTACGATACCATGATGGGCCTGATGGCAAAGAGGATATAACTCCGGGGCGCATGTGCAAGAGTTACATCATCATTGGCCACCCAATGGCCAAAGAGGATTCCTACGGAACCTGGAACTTGTGTTGTAAAGTAGTCACCGCTCCAAGCTCGCTCCTGTGATGGACTACAATGTCATGTTTGGTTTACTAATTTGCAGGGATTGCCCGAAATTTCAGCCGCCGAAACACATCGGCCGAAAATGGCACTTTTGGCAAAATGACGAAAGTGCCATCTTTTGGCCATAATAGCGGTGCATCCCTACTTTCTCTCCTCCCCGCTGGGCGCTGCTCTGTGTCCCAACGGGGAGGAGAGAAACTGTTACTGGAGGTCGAGTGCTGCGGGAGGAGACAGCTGTGAGCGGCAGCAGTCTCTCCTCCCCGCACCGCTCAGCCTCCTTTGACAGACTAGGAGGGTGGTGGTGTGTGGGCGGAGACAGCTGTCAGTGCTGTCACAGTAGGCCGGGGAGGAGTCTGCTGTCACAGGTGAAAGAGCTCTCCTCCAACACCGCTCGCTCAGCCTCCTGTGACAGCTGTCAGGAATGAGAGCGGTACACTCAGTGATCAGTGATCGCTGTGTGTTTTGCAAATAATTGAGGACATAGTATATTTACCCTGTCCCCAATTATGAATGAATGGGAAGTGATCTACATCCCCTCCTGTTCATTCATGATTGTGGACATGATAAACATACTATCTCCACATGTTATGAATGAACAAGAACACTCAGTATAAAGGATTCCTGTTTATTCATAACACGGGCTGCAGAAAAAGAGATTGAGGGCTCTGTGTTCTCAATCCCTTTTTCTATTTTAAAAGGGAGATATCAGGGGTCTGTTTAGACCCCTAATATTTCCCCGAAGCCCCCCCAACCAACAGTAAAGTAAAAAAATGAAAATATTTAATAAAAATTAAAAAGTGTGTGGATATATATATATATATATATATATATATATA